TTTGATAGTAAAACCAGGGAAGAAGTGGGTGTTCATGTGATCAAGCGTTATTTAATAGCGCCCCTTGAAATGTTTGTTAAAGCCGACTTTGATTAGTTGGCGGAGGAGTTATTTACCAGTCATTTTAGCACATGACCGGATGGTATCATTAACTGACAGGGTTGTTTGGCTCCAGGTTTCAGGTGGTCATTACATCATTGATACTTGAATTAAATTTGGGATATTTTGGCTGGATACACTGACAAAAATATAGATATGTGAAGTGCCAATGTTGCTGCATAAGTGCAACATTTGATTTTTTGTTTGAATTTAAAGTGATTTTCTTTTGCATGAATATTTAAACTGCCAGCTCTATGATTCACCTGTTTTGCATGGGGCAACTGACATCAATGTTCTTGAAAGAAAAAAAAAGTTAAAATTTTTAATTGTAAGTATTATGCCAGATTTGACTTTTTTTAGACCAAGGCAACTTAATTTTTCTTTCTATAAAAAATTAATTAAATGTCATTGAAATTCATTTGATTTTTTTTATATCAAATATTATATATGCAAGCATACATACTGCTGCACATGCACTTAAATGTGCACTTGCACCTACATTCTCATGTACATATTTCACCTATGACTAAATATATATTGCAGGACATGGTACTGTTAGACAACAGATATTGATAGAGGTCAAAAATGGAAGTCATTTACTATATCTGTGCCAGGTGGGGGAGTATCACATGCTATTCAATCATTCATAATATTACATTTATTAAAATACATGTAACCCAATTAATGCTGATTTATCATAAGTTTTATGCTTACTGTTATGATTTTACAGTGACATATCTAATATAGAAATAAAAGTCAGATAGGTGTTAAGTTTTGAAAATGAGTGAATATTATGAATGAGTATAATTGGAGGTTTAAAAAAACTTATTGGGAGTGCTGATTTAATGCTGCTTGTGTTTTTCTTTTTTTTCCTGTGTTTTTTTAAGGGAATGTCATTTTCTACTGTTGTATGATATAAAATTTAATTCAGATAAGGAAGTAAAAAAAAACATTTTGAAAACATATATGTTTTATATATTTTGCACTATTAGTGATCACCTTTACAGAGCTACTTGTCTTTTGATACAGATGGCCTTATGATGGGCTGGCAACTTCCTCACCACTTCAGAAGTGCTCTGATCAATGTCAGAGGTACTCAGTTTTACAATTTGCAACATATTAATCAACTTTTTTTTCAAAATCTTACATAATTATCCCATTGGTTTTATAATTGTGTAAGGTTTTGGCATAGTTAGAGTTGCCCCCCCCCCCCCCCCCTGCAGGGCAGAAGCCTATACTCCCTGGAATCAATTATGTCAAGTGACTAGTAAGTAAATTGTATTGAGGTTTTCCACAGTTTAGGATGATTATAACCCACTAGTGGCAATGTTGTGGTTTGCAATGTTGTAACACAGTATTTGACTAGAATGTGAAGCCACTGTGACATTGAGCTGCAGTGAGGATGGTTTCTGAGTTATCTTAACTCACTGCTGCCCAGAATAACTACAGCATATAACAGGTTAGAAAAGATTTTTTTCAATATTCTAGGATGTTTAGAATTTAAAGAATATATGAGGTGTTCATTGGGAGTGAAATTTTGACTTTAGAGAACCACACACTTATTATAAATTGTTAACTCCAAGTTTCAAATAGACTATTTTAAGACCTTTGATTATAAATTCTGTAAATGGTTTAAATCACCAGAGGTGAAATTGATTGAAAAATATTAATCATGAATTGCTGAAGGTCACAGATGTCACTATTGAGGCTTTTGATGTTAAATTTATCATCACAGCACCCGCATATGCATACAAATTTCGTTAAGAATCTAGAACTGACTCCATTGATGCCAGCTGCTACGTCTGGCTGGTTAACAGGTAGATGTTCCATTATTTTAATTTAATTTTTTTTTTTTTTTTTTTTTGGTAAAAGTATGGAGTGAACTGAGAGGGGATTATAAAGACCTGTTTAATAATGATATTGTTTTAATAGGATAATTCATGTGCCTAAAACAAGGAGTGGAAATAATCATTTTTGCCTCTATTCTTAAACCCCCACCCCTGACAGAACAGAAAAGATATTGATACCACTGTATTGAGACAGTTCCCCAGATGTACCTACACTTAAGCCTAGATTTACTCACATAACATAAATGTATGAAATAAGATGTCATTTGCTGTGGTATTAGAGTCCTAACATATATGGGTGTTGAAGAGTTTTATTTATTAATTGCTATCAGAAGATTGCTGTCAGCAATGTCAACTACATGGCACATTTGCGCACGCACATACACACACACATCAAATTATTTGTTTTAAAAGTTGTTATTCATTGGTTTACATCATTAAGGAAGAAAACACTTCGTATGCAATGATTAAAATTCTAACTTACTCATAAGTAAAAAAAAAATTCACTTTGCGTGGGATATTGTATTTTAGGAATGATATATTTTATACCTCTTTTTCTTGAATTTTAAACTGACTGTACCAATTCAAACCATACAACTTGCAAACTTGGCCACAAATACACTTTACTTTGCCTGGAATGAATGCGCTTATATACATCAGCAGGCAGGAACATGTGAGTATCTTACCAAACGTAAAAACACATGCACCCGTGTCCACACATACCCACACACACTAGTCAGATACAAACTACCAGAACTCTTGCAACCTCATTTCAGCCAACATCACAAGTATGAAGCAGGGGTTTTAAAAGAGCCTACCTTTTGGTCACACACATTCTGGTTTTGATATCAAATCAATGAGCAACCAGAAATGTGGCTGGCATCCAGATATGGGCTTCCTTTCTGACCACAAAGGTGAACTTGACCTTCAACCCCCCCCCTTTGAGTAAATTAATGAGTAATGATCTACATAATTGTGCAACTTTTAATTAAAACTTCCTCTTCTGATGCCTGTACAAAAATAAACTTGTTCAGTTAATGCTGATACATGTCATAGTGAATTAGGCCTTTGCTTTGAGAGGTGTATTGGAGGCTTGGGACCTGAGTGTATATGGTGGAAACTAGATCGTTTCAATGGGGGGAAAATGGTGAATTTTACAGATACTGTATTTTTTAAGTCAATATTTTTAAATTAGAGCAATCCTACTGTTGGTAACAACAAAAAGCAGATTACTCTATATAGTTCTATTCTATGCAGTAAAAGCACCACAGATGCTATATAGTAATATATTATTTTTGTGATTATAAAATTATGAATCTGAAAGGCTTTGGGCACCAAGACACCTTAATCCTGGCTTTATTTTAAGACATTGTCAAATGGTCTGGGGGGGATAGTACATATTAACTTGACCTGTGCCTCTGCAAAATTGCAAAACTCAGACCTGCTGCAATCACACACAAAGCTCTTTTTTATATTTGAAGAGATATCACAATTTTTGAAATACTATTTGACTGATATTCAAGTCTTTATACAGCTATCACTGGAATTGATTTTTTTCCCTTTTACTGGTCACTCCAGTTATCTTCTACCAACTTTTTAATGCACATGTACATTCAGTATTGTATGGTAAATAAGTTGGTTCAAACCATCTCCACTACAAGCGGGCCTTTACTTATGCAATTTTGATGGTGCCGCAAACCACGATCAACTGCTTCTTACCACAATAGCCACAAACAGCCACAGCGTTACCTGGAGATTTACCTCACTTTACCTTGCACGTTTTATTATACTATAGATATATAGATATAAAAAAAGTTTGTCAGTATACAAGATTAATGTTAAAACTTCATATTGGCAAACTATATTTTAAAAAATAAATATTCATATATAACCTCTGAACCTGATCTAGTCTGCATTGAAAAAGAGATTAAGGGCTGTGTAATAAATATATCTTTGTGATGTAGTTCATGTAATCAAGTTTTTTTTCCTCAATAAAAAACATGTTTGAGTCTGATAGACCTTCTTTCATATTTTTTTTTGAAACTTAAGAATTACATATTTATCTTGGCATGTATATACTTCAGATTAATATTTTGAGCATTTACCCTAGTGTGTAGGTGTGCAATATGGTGAGAAAATGTTTTCTGAACTACCAGTATCTTGAAGGGTTGAATGATACAGTTAAGTATTGGAAACTCTAGATACATAAGACAGTTCAAGTTTTCCCTCTACCACCCAGTTATGCAAGTATACATGGTTAAAAGATTAATTGATCGGGAGTTAGTTCCTGGTGTAGGCTTGAACCATTAACTGGATATCTGGGTAGAAAAAGTTTGTGTCATTGTCTTTTTTCACCACAATGTCAGGATTATTTCTTTGTGCATTAAAGACAAGTGGAGTATCTACATGAAAACATTATATCAGGGATAAAATGCTTTGTAAGTGATTTAGAGATTTGCCAAAAATAATTTTTACTTATTCAGATCAAGTCTTGATCCGTTTTTCTGTGCTTTGCGGGTTGTGTCAACCAGGAAGTATTACTACCAGGATTCAGGTTGCCATGCAACTATATATATATATATATATATATATATATATATATATATATATATATATATATAATGCAAAAATAATATTTTCAGGATAAAAGCATGTTGTGTCCTCATGGTGTTATCATATCTTGACACTTCTGTGTCATTGTATGATTGTCAGCTTATATTTCTAAGCACAAGTTGTCTCTTTAGTGTCAACTCACCTGTAATGAGAAATGCTACCTTCCAGTGATGCTCTAGATCATGGAGAAAAAAAAATATATCTGCCAAGGGGCAGAGGCTGCTTAGGTGAATACTTGGACAAGAACCATTTTGATAAACTTCAGACAACCAGTTTACTGAGAAAGCACATTTGCACCAATCTAATCATATGATGACACAGCATAGATTAATTTTTAGTCAAAAGCAGGTTTTGGTCTGAATGCATTAGCAATAATGTAAATAAAAAAAAAATAACTCTATTCCTGATTGATTGTCTTTGGTGGTACAATAATTAACCTACCTCTTGACCACAGATGCATCAGTAGTGGAAAAGCTGCCATCTTCTTAGGTAACGTTACTTGAAGTGTGCCACAGCCTGACAGCAGCAGTCAACCACAATTCTGTGTGTGTGTGTCTCTGTGACGGCAGCTGGCAGCAGGTCTTGCTTTTATAGTTTTCTTTCCCCTATCTCTCTAGTCTCTCTTCTTTCCTTATTTCTTTCTCTTTTTATATTCTTTTTCTGCCAGTTTCATTAATGTATAAGCTACTCACAGCAGTTTCTACTACACTCAGTCCTTTCTTTCTCTCTCTTTCTCTGTTTCCTGATTTACCTGCAGGAAGAGTAAGGGTAACAGCAAAGGTTTGAAGCAAAATTATTTTTATAGCTGCCCAGAAGTCTCTGTCTATTGCTTTTTCTTGTTCTCTCTCTCCTCTCTTGATATATATGGATGATATATTGTTGCAGCTGTGGTACTGTCACCCTCATGCATGTGACAGAGCCTTGTTGATTTTTTTCCTTAAAATGGGGTCGTTCTCTAGCTGTTTTTCTCCACCTCTCTCTTTCACCCTCTCTCTCTTTCCCCTCTGTGTTCAGAGCTATGACACTCAGTAGCAGTATCATGTGCTGCAGCCAGCTCTCTCATTTCTGAGTCATCCCCATGTGGAATTCTGGCACCAACCCTGCCTGTATCTCAACAACAAGATTTTATTACGCCTTTGCTAACATGATAATTATTTGAGTCATACCTATGCATGTTTGTTTGTGCATGTTATACTTGATTCTGCCAGAGTAGGAGAAAAAATTGGAAGTGGAGCAGAAGATAATCCAAGAGGTTTTTTTTCTGTTGTCAGAATGATTTGTCATTCCAATGCATGGATTGTGTGTTGTTTCATTTCAGGGGACAGGGGAGGGGATAAAACGTAATTAAACGAATGACTAGATTTGTTTAAAAGGTTCTATGTAGTTAAATTATATAAATGCATGTTTATATACAGCTTGATGTTGGCTAAGAGAGAGGCTCAGCAGTGATGTGTGAGATAAATTGAACAAAGTTTCAAGATATCAGTAGTAGAGAAACAGCTGGCTGTTATATTGTTGCCAAAAGAATAGTAACACATGATTCTATTGAGCTTTTTTTTTTTTTTTCATGAAATTCAATTGTCTGAAATTTTACCAGAGGAGATTCTTATCACCAAAAATAATCTCTAATACCAACTAATTGCAGAACCTAATCTTTTAATGCTTTTGTTTATATATTTTGAACCTTAATAAATGGGTATATCAACATATAATCTTACTACTCATGCATGTCAATCTTACTACAAGTGTATGTCACTGATTTAAGCTGGTGACCATTCAGAAGCTTGGGTATCATTTTGGTTGATAAGGAAGCCAGATTCCAGACATTCTATAAATAAGTAAACTGTTGCCAGTGTGCCTATGTATAATATTAGTTGATACTCCACCATGATTGTATTACTGTTTGTTTTAAAGTTGCTAAGAGGCCTTACCTAGACGGTTTGAATCTATGCAAAGTTAGTGATTAAGCAGATCAAACCGTAGGGCACTGCATAATTAGATAAGTAGGAGCCATTCAGAAGTTTTGTCAAATGTCAGAACCTAATCAAGTCCGATATAAAGGTATTTTATATAGTGTTCCATATTATTCAGCCACAAAATAATAATGGAAAAATAGTCATAATGTGAAAAAAATATTTAAAGTATTATTATTATTATTATTATTATTATTATTATTATTATTATTATGTGAGATTGAGAGTCCAAAATTGTGATCAATTCTTTCTTCATTATGTCTCTCTTTTTTTTTTGTGAGTTGGGAGACATCTTTCTTCCCACTTTCCACCCACAAATTAGAATTTTTAAGATAGAAATTTAGTTCTCATAGTAACCCACATTTTTTGTGAATATTTAACATAATTCGTGGAATTGCCAATATTTGAACCACATATTCCACCAGGCTTCATTTTCATATTTCCACAAAGAATGCATTTTTTTGTGCTTTAAGAGTTTGAGAGACACCTAGACAGGGAATGGGTTGCTAGTCAAAAAGGTGCCTTCAAAACTCAGTGCTTACCTATGTTATAAAGAGCTGGGGATATTGTGCTGTAGTTTAATGTTTGATTAATTTGATTTTGTCGTCCTTTTTGTGCTGGAGACTTTTTATCCAAGTTGATGTCCATTTAACACAGTCTCTATATTTTTTGTTGCTGTTATACCAATCCTGTGTTACTAAATTATATATAAGTAAAAATTTGGGGCTATTAGAAATGTGAACAAACTGAAACAATTTATTGGAAGTTTTGTAATAAAGATAGAAAAGTTAAGAGTAAAGTAATGAGTTTCCTGTGGAATGCAATTGTCCTTTGTGGCACCCTGGATTAACTAGTGAGCAGTGCAATATAATTAAAGAATCTTTTCAGTCGAGGGCACTCAGAATTATATTTCCTGATTTATCTTATATTGATGCCCTAGTGAATGCACAGAACTATGCAAATCCTTCTTTCACAAAATTAAGAATGACAAAAATGAGTTGAATTATCTTTTAACCACCAGATTTTATAGAAAGTTAAGATATAACAACCAAACCAGATTCTTTATGCAAAAAAATTTCAAGACAAATATTAGGTAACATATTTATCCCATTTTCTTTAACTAACCTTTAGAAGTCTGTGTTTATTTTGAACTTAATTTGTTCTGAATGTAAATATTTTTATTTTTTATTTTTATTTGAACACATATATTTGTATAACTTCAACCTTTTGGTTAAAATGATTTTAAATAAACTTCTTATGTCATTTCTTTGTTTTTGTGATGTTTTTATATGTGTTAGTGTTATAGTTTGCAAGTCCTTGCTCTGTGGGCAATTTTCAGGGGCGGATTTAGGCCGTCTTCTGGGTCTTCCAGAAGACGGTCAGATTTTCAAGTTTACATTGACGGATATCTATTTTTTTCTCTCGGAAGACGGTCAAAAATGTAGAATGGATCCGCAAAGATAATTTGGAAGACTGTCAGAAAATATCTCTGGATCCGCCCCTGATTTTATTTATTTATTTGGTCATGGCCAGCAAACATTTCCCTAAGCTATTCAGGTCAAAGGCCAAGGTCATTGGTCTATTGTTGTCACTGTCCCACACATAATGGTCGCCCAGTAACTGCCAAACTGTATTTTTTGTTTGACTTTAAATTTACTGAGTGGCTTTGTTTGGTAAAGAGGCAGGTTGCCCCTAGAAAAAAGTAATATAGCCTCAGTATTATGTCCAGTTGCATGTGCTCAGTCAAGGAGCTGCAGGGCTTTTGTCACATTTGTGACAAATTCAAGTTTTGCTTTAGGTAAAGTGGAGGTTAACTGTTTAAAACTGCGCCTCTTACGTGGATAGCTGTAGATGAATTTCACTGGTCACTGAAAAAGGTTTCTCTAATTGATTCTCTCAAGAAACATTTACTCTAAGCTAAGATCTAATAAACGTATATTAGATCTTAGCTCTAAGCAAGAAGATTGTAAAGAGAAGGAGTAGAAACGGGACATCAATTATCTCTCTCGTCCAATCAGATCGCAACATTTTTTTCGAAGTGACGTCCTTTGAAATTCGATCCTCATAAGTGGTCTAAACCTCTGCGTGACTCTCTTTACAGCTTCTTGCTCTAAGGCAGAGAGAGACCTTTCAGGCCTGTTTCTAGTGTTATTGTGATGGCTTAACTCACCCAGTGATTACCATTTCTATCCAGAAGTTAAATCTATTCCTGCTGCTGCCTGGTGAATATTCATTGAAACTGAGGACGTCTTCCCATGGTTATGTGCACTTATTGTAATTACACAGTTTGCTGAAAGAAGTACAGCATCTATATTTTATCATTTAAGTCAAAGTTACAGTCTGTGACAAAATCTTTTTAGGCTACTAGCCTCCCAGGCAATCAGGGTCTAGTGAGCTAGTGTTATATGAAAATTGAAAAATTTTTTTTACCAGCCTGTTGTAGGTGGGTAATTGCCTAGGGCTAGTGCCTAATGGAACTGACTGGAGTGAGAAAAGAAATAAGTGCCACTGAATAATATGATCTAATCATTATAAGTTTATGAACACTAACTATGAATATCAGATGTGTATAATTTATTTAAAAAAACATTTTATGATGCAGAGAGAAAAATCTCTGTATACCTGTAAAGGAATTGGTGGTCCATATGGCCCTGTCCTGCACAGGGTTGAAGGTTAACTTGCATTCATTAATAATATTCATAAATTAAAAAAGCAGATTGTATGTTGGAACCCATCTGCTTTGTAATCCCAGAGTTAAGCATTCAGCAAAATGATGAAGGATAAGATAGGTTCTCCAGTATGAAACAGACCTTAAATAACACTCAAACCATTCACTTCCTGCAGTTTGTCTTAAAATGGCTTTAGATAGCCCAGTGCTAGACAGGGCCAATGGTTTTCTTACTTTATTTCCTAAAACCAACCCCTGATATTGTGTTTGTTGAGAAGTCACAATCATGGCTGGTTGAGGCATGACTACCACAATCAGCCTCAAGCTCTTTCTTTTAAATGATAAAAGTTCAATAAACATTTGGATATTTTACCAAGTTTATTATTTATTTGAGTATGGAATGTACATAATCATTGCCAGAAATAAGGAGTAAAGTTGAATTGATTGATTTTTGCACTTAATTTCTATTCAGAGAAATCAATCTTTAAAAGTTACAAGGCCTCAATATTGAATGAAATCTTTGTCTCTTTAACCAGTCTTTACAGGGTTTCCTCTTGAATTCCTTGTTGTTATCTCTGGCAGTTCGTAGATAATTTTAGAGATGTCCCCAAACTGCCACAATTATCCATCTGTCATATCAGAAAAAATTGTTAGTAAATGAAATTTTCATATAATGGTACAGAATTGATAAGTAAAACCTCTGCATGTACCAAGTGTAAAGGTTTTTAAATTTCTCTTGTTTAATGATGAAAAAAATACTTTTTCCAAAGATACTATATACAAACATGTATGAGTCATTTTGTGGCATTTTGCAATCCTGTTAACTACCGTTTTCTTAAACACAATAAATTTTAGGTATCTGAAGTTTTGTTATATATTGGAATATTTGTGTCTCAAAGTTGTAGTGATATTCCTTCTCACTAGGCAATTTTTATATATACAGACACTTAGTTTTTATTAAGGGTCTATATGTTTGCCACTTTCACTATCCAGCTTTATATTTTCACACACTTGTCATATCCTAATTTTCATAAAAATCATACAAACACTAATTTTTTATCGTAATTTTACCAGTGTCTGCTTATCTACACAGTCTTCTTCCCCACCCAAAAATATACTCAACAAACATAAGTGTAATAGCAAAATTAAAATGTTCAGAATTTCTTTTGATATCTGTATGAATATTTTCTTTTACATAGACAAATATAACCACTAGATGTCTTCCTTAACATTTTATTCTGGTGGTTTGTTTACCCAAGTGCTTTCATCTAGACATAAAATATGCGCTGATTATCAAATTTCAAGCAGGCCAGCTGTTGAAAAATCATTGAAGAATCCTTCAACATACATTTTGCATTAGAAATATGGCATTTTAAGCATTGTTAATTTCATGGTTATTTCTTAACTTCATCCTACCTGTGGATATAATGCCCACATTGTCTTCCATTTCCAAAAGAGAAAGTATTTATATTTTTTCTGCAACAGATAAATACATCTTGTCACTTACCTGTCATGCAGACACTGCTGTAATTTTTTGTTGTTGTTGTTGTTGTTGATCTTTTGCTGGTTCAGTACCAAAGTAAAGATTTGACTTGATTGATTCCAGATGGAAAGCATACTTTTATACCTAGGTAACTGCATATATTATTATTATTAATGTGTGTCGCTAAAATGATTGATTCCTCATTTCAACCAATAAGATGGTCAGATTTGGGGTCATGAGTCACAGCGAAGTTTCCAGAACTTGCAAATCATAATCATGGGTTAGACTACTCATCAAACTAGATGCCATAAAAAGCTGGCTTATTTAACAGGCTTAGTAGAAATTCACCAAAACTCTTAATTTTTGGTAATATGATAAAATAAAGATGATATTTCTGTTTTTTTTGCTTGTTTTAGGCATGGTTTTGGGGACTGCAGAAAACCATTATTACAGTCAGCTGAACTCATTGAATCCATAGTTCATGAGCAGATGGTTGCTTTAGTAAGTTAAAAATTGAAACCCTGTTGAGTTCTTTGTTCATCGCCTTTTCTAAATGAATGCAAGATAACTGTACAAATGTCAGTTCATTTTTTTTCTAACCCCTGATCAACACCCAATTCTTAAACCTTTTTGAAAAAAAAATGCTTCCTCAGCCTTGGTATTATTTGTGATGATTTAAAGTGCACAATTTTTCAACACATTTTCATCATAGCTGTGTTGTGTTAGTACTGAAGAGTGAATTGAAAATATTAATTATTTGATATTAAAAAAGGAGCCTTGTTTATCACATACAATGTTTTATTGAATAAAAATTGAATTAAAAAAAATAAAGCTTAGAATATTTTTAACTATTTTTTGTTCATTTTGTGCAGCTCATCCAAGCATCAGAGGTCAATGCCATGAGAAATGGGAGGTATCTAGGGTTAGAGGATTTGCTTTTCATAATGAGGAAAAGTAAGGTAAAGCTATGATTACGTTTAGTTATACAGATACGTATACAAGTGTGTGTATGTGCATGCACATGTGTCTGTCCATGTCACCATTATCTCTGTTTGACACATTTGTTCACCCTATAACTACCAAATGGCAATTTTATATTGCATCAAAATTAGAGGGAGGTTTTGCTTGACTTGCAGATTTCCTGTTTACAGATTTACTGCAAGTCAAGGTCTGAAATCAGCCTTAATCAAACATTTTTACCAACCTGAAGCTCTTGCATTCTGCATATATTTATTTTGCATATATTTTTTATCAGTTATCTACTAAACTATATTTTTGTATTACTTACAATAGCCTTGTTTGGTAAAAAAAAGATTAAAGCAGATCAAGTTTTAAAAGCAACATGATCTTATTTTGATGAAAGTTATTACTTTTTTTGTAAAATAAATGAAATACATTTCTGAAGTGTTTGTCCCATAACTTCACATTCTACTATTGTTTTACTGAATTTATTTAGGAGGTTTTATTTTGGTGTTTATATATATATATATATATATATATATATATATATATATATANTGCAGTTAAACATAATGTACTTTTGCTTCAGAATTGACAGTAGCCTATTTTGTGCATAGTTATTTCCTGCTTTTTGTCTGTACATTTGACAGCTTTGCTGCCTTGTTTTGCTTGTTTTAGGCATGGTTTTGGGGACTGCAGAAAACCATTATTACAGTCAGCTGAACTCATTGAATCCATAGTTCATGAGCAGATGGTTGCTTTAGTAAGTTAAAAATTGAAACCCTGTTGAGTTCTTTGTTCATCGCCTTTTCTAAATGAATGCAAGATAACTGTACAAATGTCAGTTCATTTTTTTTCTAACCCCTGATCAACACCCAATTCTTAAACCTTTTTGAAAAAAAAATGCTTCCTCAGCCTTGGTATTATTTGTGATGAGTTAAAGTGCACAATTTTTCACCACATTTTCGTCATAGCTGTGTTGTGTTAGTACTGAAGAGTGAATTGAAAATATTAATTATTTGATATTAAAAAAAGGAGCCTTGTTTATCACATACAATGTTTTATTGAATAAAAATTGAATTAAAAAAAATAAAGCTTAGAATATTTTAAACTATTTTTTGTTCATTTTGTGCAGCTCGTCCAAGCATCAGAGGTCAATGCCATGAGAAATGGGAGGTATCTAGGGTTAGAGGATTTGCTTTTCATAATGAGGAAAAGTAAGGTAAAGCTATGATTACGTTTAGTTATACAGATATATACGTTTGTATATATATATATATATATATACAAGTGTGTGTATGTGCATGCACATGTGTCTGTCCATGTCACCATTATCTCTGTTTGACACATTTGTTCACCCTATAACTACCAAATGGCAATTTTATATTGCATCAAAATAAGAGGGAGGTTTTGCTTGACTTACAGATTTCTTGTTTACAGATTTACTGCAAGTCAAGGTCTGAAATCAGCCTTAATCAAGCATTTTTACCAACCTGAAGCTCTTGCATTCTGCATATATTTATTTTGCATATATTTTTTTATCAGTTATCTACTAAACTATATTTTTGTATTACTTACAATAGCCTTGTTTGGTAAAAAAAAGATTAAAGCAGATCAAGTTTTAAAAGCAACATGATCTTATTTTGATGAAAGTTATTACTTTTTTTGTAAAATAAATGAAATACATTTCTGCAGTGTTTGTCCCATAACTTCACATTCTACTATTGTTTTACTTAATTTATTTAGGAGGTTTTATTTTGGTGTTATATATATATATATATATATATATATATATATATATATATATATATATATATATGTCTTTACAATTGCAGAGCAAGCTACGAAGATTGATACGCTACTTAGAGTTAAAAGATCTCAAGGCAGCTGCATTGAAGGGGACCTCCATTGATGAGGATGAAAATGGAGAGCAAGGCAAGATGCTACTTAAGTCAAAACTAATTTACCACAAACGAATATTTCAAGCAATTATCCATGGGGAATTCAGACTAAATCATACATTGATATATCTTTAAAGGTCAACTTAAGTTCAAAATGATCTTTTATGTTGTTTTCATTTTTTTCAAGACACACTTATCATTATATATGTTATGTGTCAGGGGTGTAACCAGACCTTTTAAAATTGTATGCACAGATTTTCAAAATTCCCAGGTACGGCTAAAAGTAGACTTACGCAAACAGAAAAAGGGCAGAATAAATTAAATGTGCCAATTATCATAGTTCACTTTTCAACAGTAATAAAATCATTAGTTAAAGTTAAATACATTCCGCCGATTTAATTAAGTTCCATTACATTATTTCACCCAGAACCAAAGCTTTTTCCAGGATTGGGGTACAGGTTGTCCAAAATGGTGGTGGTGGTGAGGGGGGCGGGGGGATGAAATGAAAAAATATTTTTTTAAAAATAATAATTTTCAATGGGGAGGGAGGGTTAAAAACAATTGATAACGATCTTCTGCTGACGCTCTTTTGCAAACGAAAGCCATTGAACGAATATGAGAATTTCTTTCTCGTTTCGCTTGGATTGCAAAGATCTCCCGCTGACGATACGAAAATTGTGTTCTCGTCTCGCTCTTTGGCTAACGAAGTCTCTTTAACAGATATGAAAATTGCCTCCTCGTCTCTCTCGGATTGCAAACAATCTCTTGTTGCAATTTTGAAAATTGCCTTTTTGTCTATCAGCTTCATCAGGTGCCGTACATATGAAGGTCCGGAAGGTGTCCCCTTTCATAATTTGGCAGTTAGTTTGCTAAGAGTTCGTTTAGGGCCTACCGGTAAATGTGTTTTGTACCGCATGAAGGTCACTCTTGTCACTGCTGCATATGGCCTGGAATATGTATTTTAAAGTTAGCGGAAACATTTTGTTGTTTTTTGTAAGCTTAAGGAAGTTGTTTCGTTGTGACTGAATAACAGCGTGCACTACAAAGTAGGGGAGACTGGGGCTAGTTGGACCCCGGGGTAAGTTGGACCCCCATCAAGTCTCTTTAATAAAGTTACTTTAAGATGCTTAATTATTTCATTTGGACTCACTGCCGATGCTTTCTTAGCACTATTGGATACGGTCACTTTACAAAATGATGTGATCAATTCTTTTACCCCATAGTTATTTTGTCATAAATTAATGAGGGGCCAACTTACCCCAGGGTCCAACTAGCCCCAGTCTCCCCAAGTACCATTCAACTGTGATGTATCACAAAGTTGGGAACGTGAAATTACTATAAGAAAATTTCGTACTTCATCCACGGCTGCTCTGCCAAGCTAAGACGTCATTTTTTAAAAACAATTGGTAAGCTGTCTAGACATCTTTGAAAATATAGACTGTCCGGTGATGTCAGCGACCATCCAAATGAAGGCTGGACGGTTCGTTGGGTAAAGCCTTGCTCATAATGGTATATTTGTTTAACTAGGGGCTTACTGACACACTTTGGGCACTTATGCAGGTTGTGCCTGCTTGTATCGAGCTAAATTCTGAATAATGGTGCGGTACTGCTGTTCGATGTGGTTTGCTACAGTTATCCTGAATTCTCAGAAAATAATCTGAAAAACAACTGATCGTTGTACTATTAATATGCCTACTTGCTATCCACTTTGTGATTTCCATGGTTAGCTTCTCAAATTTGAACTTATATATGGTTTCACGCAGCTTACATGCGGGTGCATGGCTCCCAAAATCGACCAATTATATTACAGGATAAAGTTCTGATATATCTAAGTTTAATTATTTGTTTGTAATTATAAATATTGCCCATGCCACCCTGTTAATTTGGAGGGTTAAGCTGGATCAAGTCTGTGTCAAAATTTGAAGTTTTGCTGGAAAAATCAATCTTCTTTTGTTTCTCTAGTTCCTTGTATAGCCCGATGTTCAGATTTTATCTAGTTAAACAGCAGTCTTGACTTTGGTTGATACACATGAATTGATGGAGAAATAAATGCTATAAAGTAGGTTTTGAGTGACTATATATGTAGGCAGCACTGATCATTGAAAAACTGTTAAACCTATATGCAACAGCTTTGGAAAGAAAATTAACAAAATATTCCATAAACAGTATTATTTTTATTATAAAAGATATGTATTCGAAATAACTTTTTTCTATTTGCAGAATTGAAAGCTGCTAGGAAAAGGAGAAAAGTGTGCTATGATTTTTTGAGCACAATTGACCAAACAGGTAACAAAATATTTGAAAAAATATGAATACTGAAGATTGAAGTACTTTGTATGGCAAATTATTTAATACAATACCAGGCACTTCTCTTCAATGTCTGCAAAACAAAATATCATGGTTTCAGACACATTAGTTTCAAACATGTGAGTTGCACGCCGAATTTATTTCTGATATGAAATTTGAGGCAAGACAACATCTAGGATATTGGAAATGTGTCCAAAAAAGGAAATGAAAAAGGTAGGTTGCCACAGTAATAAAATATGCCTTTTAACAAAGATTATATGGAAGTGAATGGTATGAGCATATCTACGTAGATATTTTATGAAAGTGCCCTTTTTTTTTTCAGGTGAACTCTTAGCCCTTTTTGATGATGAAAGTCCAGATGAGGTCAAAGTGGAAAGAGCTTTGGTATGCCTTTGATTATATCCCTCCTAGTAGTCCAGGAAATTGGTNTGATCCTCTAGTTTCATTTGTAATCACTGCCGATGCTTTCTTAGCACTATTGGATACAGTCACTTTACAAAATGATGTGATCAATTCTTTTACCCCATAGTTATTTTGTCATAAATTAATGAGGGGCCAACTTACCCCAGGGTCCAACTAGCCCCAGTCTCCCCAAGTACCATTCAACTGTGACGTATCACAAAGTTGGGAACGTGAAATTACTCTAAGAAAATTTCGTACTTCATCCACGGCCGCTCTGCCAAGCTAAGACGTCATTTTTTAAAAACAATTGGTAAGCTGTCTAGACATCTTTGAAAATATAGACCGTCCGATGATGTCAGCGACCATCCAAATGAAGGCTGGACGGTTCGTAATGGTATATTTGTTTAACTAGGGGCTTACTGACACACTTTGGGCACTTATGCAGGTTGTGCCTGCTTGTATCGAGCTAAATTCTGAATAATGGTGCGGTACTGCTGTTCGATGTGGTTTGCTACAGTTATCCTGAATTCTCAGAAAATAATCTGAAAAACAACTGATCGTTGTACTATTAATATGCCTACTTGCTATCCACTTTGTGATTTCCATGGTTAGCTTCTCAAATTTGAACTTATATATGGTTTCACGCAGCTTACATGCGGGTGCATGGCTCCCAAAATCGACCAATTATATTACAGGATAAAGTTCTGATATATCTAAGTTTAATTATTTGTTTGTAATTATAAATATTGCCCATGCCACCCTGTTAATTTGGAGGGTTAAGCTGGATCAAGTCTGTGTCAAAATTCTTGGAAGTTTTGCTGGAAAAATCAATCTTCTTTTGTTTCTCTAGTTCCTTGTATAGCCCGATGTTCAGATTTTATCTAGTTAAACAGCAGTCTTGACTTTGGTTGATACACATGAATTGATGGAGAAATAAATGCTATAAAGTAGGTTTTGAGTGAATATATATGTAGGCAGCACTGATCATTGAAAAACTGTTAAACCTATATGCAACAGCTTTGGAAAGAAAATTAACAAAATATTCCATAAACAGTATTATTTTTATTATAAAAGATATGTATTCGAAATAACTTTTTTCTATTTGCAGAATTGAAAGCTGCTAGGAAAAGGAGAAAAGTGTGCTATGATTTTTTGAGCACAATTGACCAAACAGGTAACAAAATATTTGAAAAAAATATGAATACTGAAGATTGAAGTACTTTGTATGGCAAATTATTTAATACAATACCAGGCACTTCTCTTCAATGTCTGCAAAACAAAATATCATGGTTTCAGACACATTAGTTTCAAACATGTGAGTTGCACGCCGAATTTATTTCTGATATGAAATTTGAGGCAAGACAACATCTAGGATATTGGAAATGTGTCCAAAAAGGGAAATGAAAAAGGTAGGTTGCCACAGTAATAAAATATGCCTTTTAACAAAGATTATATGGAAGTGAATGGTATGAGCATATCTACGTAGATATTTTATGAAAGTGTCCTTTTTTTTTTTCAGGTGAACTCTTAGCCCTTTTTGATGATGAAAGTCCAGATGAGGTCAAAGTGGAAAGAGCTTTGGTATGCCTTTGATTATATCCCTCCTAGCTTAAGTTGTTCTGTTCAATGGTCTGTCAACCATTTGTGGCCCAAATTTTGTTTGGCCATCTTCTCCTAATGTTTTTTATATGCAAAGGCTGTAAAATTGTGAACAGTGTAAAACAGACTTAATTCTTTAAGACTGCCCTATTGTTCAGGTGAAAACTGCTTAAGATTTTTTTGTGTACAGATGAAACAATAAATGCATTACCAACACATGTTTAGTTTTAATGGAGTAAAATAATTTTTCCCAAATTTTTTTTCATCATCATCAGCCAGATCCTCTGCATATCAAAGATTGTTGGCATACTCCATTGTGTGAAAATGGTCAAAATAAAAGCAATTGTAAGCATGAGCATTATTTTAGTGTATTGTTTTTCAGAGGGCAGAACTGCAGACTCGACACATGGACCCCAACCAATACATGCAGTACTGTGAAGCAAGGCAGGTCAGCTTCAGTGAGTAGGCTTGTCAATTTTACTTGTTCTTTTGTCATGAATGAAATCGAATTAATGAAACACTCAGAACTGTAGTCACATTTGTTTCTTATAGACACCAGTTTTGATTCTGTTTGTAGTAGTATATTTGGCAATATTTTAACAAATGTTGATTTTATGCCTCATCCAAATTCACTTGGTGCAGGGAGTCAGACCTTAAAGTTTATTTATTTATTTATTTATTTATTTATTTATTTATTTATTTATTTATTTATTTATTCAACTGTGTTGTCTGAATAAAGATTTCCTTTTAAATATTTCTTCCCACATACTGTAGGTCAAAAGTACAAGTCTCAAAAGTTCAAGGACTGGTTGCTGTCTGGGGTCCCAGGAAATCTCAAGCCTAATCCACTGGCCTTGGAAGCTCTGGCTTACCTGGCCTATGAATGCATTGCACAGGTACTTGAGAAATATACTATACTAGTCTCAAACAGAACCCTTGTCTTATTTAGCTGATTTATTAATTTCACAGTTAAGATGTCTTTGCAAAAAGTTTGTAATTGTGTAAGATTTTAGAAAGAGTGGTGAGCTGTAGTCTGAAAATGATCTCAGTATTAATAAAGTTTAACCATGTTATACCCAGTGGCCTATTGCTATGGAGGACTATTACTTGTTTTTTTTTTTTTTTTTTTTTTTTTTTTTTTTTTTTTTTTTTTTTTTTTTTTGTAAATTTCAGATAAGTATAAACTGAAATGACCAAATCTTTATTGATGTTTTTATGCTGATCTTACACATTGAAAGACAGTTCAGGAGTCAGCTTTAAAATAGTATTTTTGTCATTAAAAAATTCTGCATCATGTGTAAATTCTTCCAGATTGTTGATCTGGCTTTGCTGGTTAAGAGAGACAAGCAAGCAGAGGTAGACAACCCATTCAACCAGCTGATGCCTAGTTCAGTGTTGAATTATGATCCAACACCACTCATGTTACAACTTCACAGTGCTGCCTTAGCACTGAAGTCTCCGCCTTCCACTGGCCCTGTCTCTCCATCAGCTGTAAGTGCATAGATTTGTATTGATATTGAAGACGGCCATTATACAGATTACCAGTTGTACTCTAGATCTACTTATAAATAAGTGATGTACACAATGTGAACGTGTTTACCTCAAAAAAAGAATGTTATGTACAAAAATGTATTTTCATCCTGTATTGCAGTGTGTGTGCCTGTATGTGTTTAATTACATTTATTTGCTAATTTTGATTTATTTAATTCCAATTTATGTTCTAGACCCCTCCATCTACCCCCTCCACCCCCTCTAACCCTCTTGGACTGAGTGGGAGCACTATAGGGACAGTTGGGACCCCTGGCTCTGGGGGCAGCAGCACAGTCTCCAATATACAAACAAAGTCTAGGAGTAAGAAGAGAAACAAGGTAAAAAAATAGGATTTCTTCTGCTTTATCTAAATCCAAGGTTTCAATTTCTGCACATTTGAAAAGATGTTGAAGTAAACAGTGCAATAGAACAATTAAATTGCCAATTTACTGGTTCCTTCAGCATGTGTATATCAGACTTACGCAGGGTTATTTGACATAAGTGCCTTACCTAAAAATAATGTAGCAAGTCTGATATGCACATGTCATCTAAATAAGATTGGTCCCATTTAAGACAACACTGATTCTTGATGCTTATGTTTTTTTGTTTTTTTTTTTACTATTGGCATACTATATTGGATTAAAAATGAAAAAAAAATAAGAAAAAATTATTGTGTTTTTAACCAATCAAATAACAGGGCTTTTGTACAATAAATGATAAATACTATGAAGTTCTTAGTAATTTTTTCTATTTAGAGTGGCAGTTCCCCTAGTGTTGTGGATGTTTCAAGTCAAGCAATTCAGCCAGCTGATATTAGAGAGGCATTAAGAAGATATGGTCAGGCCATAGGGGTCTTCAACACATTTTCTGTAAGATTTTTTTTCTTCTTTTTCCCCCCTTTTTTTCTTTGCATTATTTTATTTATATAAGTGCAACTTCAAGGTTTGGGATCTTTAGAAAAAGGTTAAGTATAGGACCAGTAGGCTTGCGATTTTGGATATGTTGATGTTTTAAAAGAGTTGTGGTAGGGAGAGTGTGTTAAGAACATGCATGAAGTGTTTTTCTCAGAACTTAATTATATTTCAATACTTTCACTTTTTCCCTTTCCTTTTTTATGTATAACAACTGAAAATGAATGCTTATTGCTGATTTTTTTAACGGAACTTGCTAGTATTTTATCATGTTGAATTTAACTGAAGATTATTTTTTCTTCTTTTTTAGAAAAACCGACACCCTTCACCGAGAGATGTTTTGTTATGCTGTTAGCGCAGTATCACATGCATATCCAGGCTTCAGGATTTTTCACAGACACCAAAGTTGTATAATTTTGCAGTATGTTTTTGTATCATAATGTCATTCAACAAACAAAATAACTTGTGGTTTTGGTTGTCTGTCACTTTTGATTTCCAGTTTTATGAGAAAGCAGTTTTAAGGCTTTTTACTCATACTCTTGTAATTATATTTTCCAAACTATTTCTAGGTTTGCTTATGGAATAACTGTTCGACACATATTGATTAAGTTACATGTTCATAATTGCTGTGTCACAAGTTCGATAAAAAGATTGGAGACAAATAAATGTCCTTACAAAATTGGGCATTAGATATTACCTTTTCTTGTGTTATGACAAATATTATCGATACATTATTGCAGTTCACTGTAGCATATTGAATTGACGTTTTGTCACTATTCTTTCTACTTTTTCTTTTTGTATAGTAATTTTTTTAATATCAAATTTGGCAACATGTCACAATTTATCAAATTGAAGAAACTGATTTATTTTATTTTTGAAAGCAATATCCTGCTGTAAGGAACTACAGTAAGAATGGGTGATTTAAGCTTTACAGTTCTTGATTTTGCACCCAGATTGGCTGACAACTGTAGTTTTACTTGGTGGTAGAACATCCTAATCATTCAATGTTTAGCCACTAGTTGTGGTACCATTTTCAACAGTATCAAAACTAGAAATATCTCACAATGATATTTAGATTTTTATGTGTCTGTATATCTGTAAAAATGCTATTTACAACACTGAGTCTGGAAATGTTTCTTGTTTTGTCAAACAGACAATTCCTAAAATAAATTGCAAGTCATATTAAATTTATTCCATGCGGTATAGGTTTGTTCCTAGGCCAAATTTATCTTGCTTATCTATGGCCAATTTCATATAATCCTGCCATTTTATGTGGAAACGGACGTACGCATACGCAGGCACATGCGCACTCGCACGCACTGCAGATCGATAAAAATTGTGCATCCTGTAACTTATTTTCAAAGCATACTTTTGACAAACAGATCGACAGGGGGCAAATTATAACTGTTTCCATTGTAAAAGCGTAGCTTAAACTCGTGTCTGATATTGTCCATTTTCTTATTTTTCTGTTCATAATTGATATCAAGGAGGACAACCAAATTTGTTCAAGAGACAAAATATGCCTTGCTATGGATCAAAATTTCAAGTAAATTTTCAAAAACCAAATTTGTAAATTTATTCAAATTGAATTTATTAATGTGGGTTAGCGGAATTATTTAGACGAATTCTTTTAGCAGGTGAAAAATTTTAAATGCTCAAATTCCATTATTTTCAAAATACTGGACATACTGGTATTTACAAGGCTTTTAATCCATTTTAATTTGAATATTTGTACCGTGGCAAATTGTTAATCCGAAAAACAGTAAGACAATATTTACAAATCAGAGTAAGGTAGTTGAATTAATTGTAAAGTACCAAAACAGATACATGTGTCATATGTTTGTATTCTTACTCATTTCCACTTATTATTACTATCTTTATCATCATTATTTCATGTCTGTCTAATCAAAGTGAAAAGAAAACTGGAATTACAAGAGCGTTTATTCAGTTGCCATATAACAGATGCATGAATACGCGCAGGGTTCCTGAGAATGAACCAAAGGCTAGGTTGCTAGAAGGCCCATGTTGTGCCGTGTCTCGGTAGGCTTCTGAAATGAGGAAGCAATGTTTACAATATTGACCAAGCGGACAGGCTCACAAAATACGGCAAATGCATTTCATATCACAGGGCAGAGAGAGCACTTTCAAATGAAATGATGTGAGAGTCAATACCTCCTCGATGGGAGTCACATGATTCCTTTCTCATTGAATATTAAAGCCATTTGGATCAGGTTACGTGTACACTCATTCTCAATATATAGGCCCGTTTGAAAAAAGACAGAAAAGTGAAAAACGAAGTTAGAGATAAAGTTGCCTACTCTTCTCTTTCTAAATCTCTGGTTTACAGAAAGTGAAATCTGGCTTTTTATGAATCATTGAAAAATTTAAAATACATGTCTTGGGAGTATGGGGACGAAGAAACAAAGGTTTAGCTTACTTCGGTAACGAAAGTTATAGTTAAAACAGCCTTTTTATGTACAGACATAGATGTGTCTGTACATATTGCCATCACCTGCGTCTGTCGTCGCCGTCACCGATGCCGATGCCGATGCCGGTGCCGATGCCGATGCCGTCACCGTGCACTTTCAGCGTAAACACGATAAGTGGAACACAGTTTTACTTTTTGGTTTTATATTTACAGAGCTGATGAATATTCATAAAACGCAGGTCAAGTTCGAAAATCAGCATGACCGGGCCATTATAGTAGAAGTTATGCTGTTTTTTCACTTTTCAGCATATATGCAACCCTGTAAACACATTTTAAGGAAAACCGTTAGGCCTGTTGTCATGAAACTCACATGAGTAATCAATCTTACTAAAACGCAGGTCAAGTTCGAAAATTGGCATGATCGGGCATTATTTTAGTAGTAATGCTGTTTTTTCATTTTTCAGCATATATGCAACACTGTAAACACAATATAAGAAAAACAGATAGGCCAATTGTCATTAAACTCACACAGGCCTACCCAACTACCAGACTCGGCACCTACGGATCCAGAATAAACCGGTATATCAGACCACACTACCCGTTTTCAAGGTGTGTGTCAGATCGCATTACAGAGTATCATACCCCATCACAAATTTTGTAGGCCTACCTGTCATCCGGGTATCGCGCCTCGTTTTCGTCAAGTAGGAGTGGTATGAATACAACAACATGGCGACAGACGGTAGTCGGTGAAAAAATCGCATAATTTTATTTAACCCCGACAGAATATGCTTCCGCTATCAAAATTAGGTATACTTTTCTAAATTAATATATAAGTTTGCAAGTTCTTATTTACAAAACATCATTGGCTATGGTCGAACCTAAATTTTATGTTAAAAAATTGCGGTATTGTCAGATTTTTAGCATAAACAGGGATTGCAGCAGCACATGAATCTAGATGAGATGCACTACTTTCCAACCCCGCTTAGGATCATGGCTATCACATAGCGCACCAGGCAAAATCGGTGTGGTGGCTGATACTCTGTAATGCGATCTGACACACACCTTGAAAACGGGTAGTGTGGTCTGATATACCGGTTTATTCTGGATCCGTAGGTGCCGAGTCTGGTAGTTGGGTAGGCCTG